TCTGGGTTTTCCAACGGCGTGGCAGACGTTTGACAGAAGTCACAACAATCTCCCGGGAGGAACCTATCCAGGGCATCGAGCACACCGGATAACGGTAATTGGGAAAACCAAATCCGGCCGTACACGGATGATCTTTCGTAAGATGGCCAAACTGCGTTTGCGGCGCCAGCCTTCCTCGCAATTGCTGATGCGATTGTGCTACGTACTGCCATGAGCTGGTTGACAAACGCCAAGCTGCTAATGTGCACTGCTGGTAACTGGCAAACTGACGGCCTGAATGCGCGGATGCTATGTTCTGTAGGCCGGATTCCATGCTGGTTGATCCCGTCGTGTGTGTCGGGGCCACACCCGTATCTGGCCTAAGGCGCTTGAAAGGGCGAGCGCGTTCCAAAAATCCTTGTCCCCTGTACCTTTCGGCGTTTCCGGCAGTTTCCAATGGACAAGCTGTACGCTTTTGGCGGTTTTAAAATGCAAAGTTTTGAATCATATCCCTTTCAGTGGCCTTGTGAAGTTCTGACGGTACAAGAATGACTGGCATTCTCAGCCATGTTGCTATACACTGTTTGAGTCGTGACGGGGAGGTTTTACCATCACGTACAATGTCGAAAAAGGGTTGTTGTGTCGCTCCCCGTAAAACGAGCAGACGTAACACGTGCTCGGACGCACGCCTGTACATGTTGTCAGTTTCCCCGATGTTTATGGATGGGCCAACAGAAGTAAAAACAGTGAACACGGGGGTGATCCAATAAACGACGGAGCTATGCCACAAAGTTTATCCCAACCATGGGACCAAGGGTGTTGGCCAGCATGGCGCCACAGCATAGTTGATCGGCGTGTGGATTTTGCGGCAAGTCGGATAAACCAAACGCCAGCTAAAACTCGCATGATCACCTCTATGCCGGCCGCGCGGCCGCCAACCTCGTTCAAAAACCAGTGGTAACAACATAAGTAGTTGAAGCGCCGACTGCAACATTCTGCCACCGCGGCGCTTGCTGCGATGTCTTCTAGTCAGGGCGGGTTGGACACCATGTCCGATGCTCGCTGCCGAGCCAGCAATGTAGGCAAAAGGTTGTCGCCGTGGGTGGCATTAACATTCAACGCCTTGCATAGGGATGTGAGATGCTTGCCTGGCTTGCTTGTGGGTCGTATGTTCTGTAGGAGCTTTGATTTTTTCACGTACACGTCGTATGTTGTCTGATAAACGTCACTCCTGGTAGCCATATGGGGGAGACTGGCAATGGCCTGGGCTGGCTTCTGCTTCGATGGAAACCTGTTGCGCTTGGACACCTCGATAGTGCAGTGAGGTTGGCTGTGTCAGTCTCAACCCGTTTTCTCACGCACTCTGCGAAATGCTGTTGTGCTTCATGTCTGCGAGGGGACGTGGCGGGAGGTGACTTGGCCATGTTGGCGAGGCCACACAGCCCTTCAGCGGGAGAGGCGCGTGGGAGAGGCGCGTGGATCACAATGTCGCTGGTGCTTGTCGGGTGCGCGGGCATCACCGGAGTGTGTATACGACATGTATCGTGAACAGCATGCGAACATGCAGCCAAGCAAATTTCCGCTACAAAGCAGATCATGCTTCTGGTCGATGCATTGCACAATGTCGCAAGACATGCGGTTTTGGAGCATGGACCAGTCATGGTTCCAAAGACAAGCCTACCCCAGGGTCAGAATCACCTGGGGTCCATGTGAGGATACAAGCCATCGGCAGCATGAAACAGCATATCATGTTGATCAAGAAGATCACTCGCGTCAAGGGCATCAGAAGGCGCACAGTTGTTAGAATGCGCCGCTCTCGCCTCAATGATGCTCACGAATGCTAAACGAAGGAGCTTCAAAACTCAGCTCATGCCTCACGCACAGCCTCCTCGACTCGTACTGTGCGCGTTAAATCCGGACTTAAGTTTCATCGGAGGGTTTCGGCATGTCACGTGCAGTTCGAAAACCGAGCGTGTGTTGCATATGCAAGCGCTGCTTCTGGGAACAGTCAACCTGCTTCCTCCCATAACAAGAGCTCCTACTTACTTCAACTGACCTACTTCGCCCGCCGTATGACTCTGCAGCTCCCAACTGACCTACTTCGCCTGCCGTATGACTCTGCAGCTCCCAGAAAGTCGGAGCTTGATGCTCGTGACATCGTGTGGGTGCATTCTTGCCAAGGGTGTTCAGCAGGATCTCAAGGAAGCCATGCTTTTGCAAGTCACTTCGTTGAGCCGCTATGAAAGCCAAAGAACAGTAAAACTTCAAAGTTTTCGAGCTCCGAGCGCTTCCAGCTTGGATCTCAGATGGAAAACATATCAGGCGCTGATGCACTGCAGAGTCATGCCGGTCATATCGGTATTGTCTATAACTTCTATAACATTTGCCTGGTTATGCACCGTCATGAAGCAGTCTCCTGGCATGCAAGGTGCGCGAAGCATGGCACAGCAGGAACACCGCCGTCAAGGGAAGATCACACGAGCACAGATTCTGAGACGCGTTGATGTAGTCGCTGGGCACCCGACATTGCGTTGGTTCATCAACATATCTCGTGTGGCAGTAGCTTGGCCAATGATCTCATCCGCCATGGACAGGGAGGAATTCAAGCCCATTCCTGGCCGGGCGAACCGTGCATGAAGCGGCAGCTCCGTGTCCAGCGGAAAACCATGATCTTTCCGAACAGGCGAGCGGCGTTCTCGCATCAGGCCGTCTTCGGCGTCATCCTTGCGTGTACAGCTAACGACACGCTTACTAACTGTTAGCGCTGGCTGGCGCATGGGAACGACCCAGACTCATATCGGCGCATGTGTATGAATGTATGTATGCAGGTAGGCAGATACGCAGGCGGCCAGGCAGGAAGGTAGGCAGGCAGGGAGGCACGCAGGCAGAGGATACGTGAATCTGTACGTATGTGTATGTATGCATGCAGGTTTGACTGCATGTAGGTATGTGCCCACGCAATCACACCATGCAACACAAAACAACGAAACTCCTAGATTGGATAACCAATGAGAGCGGTATGGTAAATTTGTTGAGTTGTGACAGCTTGCAAAGCGCTGAAATGCTTCACGTCCCAGTGACAAGTCGAATTTGTTAACTGTCTTCCAGCTGCCAGAACCTCTCAGGAGTCCGCAACATTCTGGAATTTTACGACGCCAACGGCCGCGAATCCCTCAGTTGACAAGCTCTCCTGCATATGTAGCGCACATCGATACTGCTCATACACTTACCGTTTACATAGATAGACACCTCAGTGAAATCGCGGACAGGTTTGATCGCTCGTCTTCCTCGTAGATGTCCGATTACCTCTTGGTCTTCAGACCTGCATGTGTGTATGTGTGTGTTTGTCTGTGTGTATGTGTGCTTTTGTTTGTGGCAATACACTCCACCGTTCGTAAGTTGCTGTTCAGCTGTCACTACTTCATTTGATATTTCCTTGCACGTACTTCTGGAGCCCATGCATTTACTTTCTTCATTTAAACTTGTCGCATTCATTTCGCTGGGCAGAACAGCTCTGTTGCAAGGACGTGCCAGGGCGACACTGGACCTGGGGTGGCGGATGCTGGCAGAGCTCTGACTTTGACTTTGCGGACGTTGTCCATTGGACGGGCTCAGCTGATGGCCGGTTATTTCTCGCCTGCGGTAGCAACCTGCAGAAGTCAATCACTCGATGTTACGCTGAAGCATCCCCCGGATATCCAGGGCTGGCCTTGCATGCTGGTACTGCTGGTCAATGCTCTGGGCCACTCTCTTAAAGTCACGGAGCATCTCCTGCCCAAGCCCATTCCTACGCCGTGAGCAATCTGCCAGGCCTATGACAGCAAGATAAAGCAAGCTCCACCTGATGAGTTTCCCGGAAGCGGGCGGCTTGAGCTGCTTGAGCGCTCGTCGCAGCTACATTGGCCAGAGACTCGCTTGCGTCCTTCGGACATCACAAGCTTGATGGACATGTCATACTGTCACACAGGCCGCATGCAGATTCGGTTCATCGGTTGCGCAAACTTCAATGCTGTGTCCTCCAACTGGCTCAGGCCCTTCTCAACCTGGAAATGCTCTGGCCAAGATCAGCTTCTACATGGTATCAACATCAAGAGCAGAAACGCACGAGACCTCCTCTCGCAAACTGACGACAAGCTTTATCTGCCTGGCATCTTAGCAAATGCGAGCGATCCCAAACCAACCGCCACGCCAGTCTAGCATGCACGAACACAACAAGGCATCTGGCAACAAGACAGCCGCACCCGTCGAGCTCTGCCACACGGTCTGCTGGTGTGGATGCCGTTGCTGTGCTTAGCCGCTTGTTTAAGCGCCCGAGATCCTGACAGAGGTGTGACTGGGCCTTGAAGAAAGCACCGCTGCAGAATTCCTGCATCTTGGTGTCTAGCTCCGATTTCAGAGCCTGCAACAGAAACATCGAAAGTCAAGTCGTATGGGAAGTGGTGCTGTCGGCGGTGTGGCTGTGGTGTTGTGGCCTTGGCTCTTGCCTTCAGCGACTCCCACGATGCCATGACTCTCCCGAATTGAATCGTTTTCTGTCTCTGTTATGCGTTCCTCAGCATATCGCTAACAGCATCCTGCTTCGATGTCAAACTGCCTAGGCTCTGGCTGTCAAGGTTGCAGATCTGTAGTTGGATCGGTTGCGATCTTCTGCACCAAGCTGAATCAAAGAACTTCCGGGGTTCGCTATCAATGCCCCCAGCAGCCCTGCACCTGTTCGAAGCTCGCAGCTCCACCGTCGGGCTACATTGTTTCTGGTATAGGCTGATTGTCAAAACATGCCGTGCATGCGGCTCGAGGAGCATGTTGGAGTTCACGACTGAGTGCATTCTTTCTCGCATATTCGGGCTCACAGTTTGCACCCAGGCGCCCAGATGCGCCCAGGTTCCAGCAGCACCCGATGCGGCTGCGCGTTGCAACGGCTACGAGCAGCAGAATCGTCAGCCACAGCGTTCTGTACATGATCCGAATCGCATGGCCACCTGTACAGCCGCGAAGAGGAAAGCGCACTTTGGCATTTTCCCTCAGAGCAGGCCCTCGGGAATGCCCTCATCGTCGTCACCGACATCATTTCTCGCGAGGCGCAGACCGTGCAACATGGCCGCCTGTGCAGCACATTCCGCAGCTGGCAGAACTTGGAACGATGCCCAAACAACAAATGAGCTGCCCACCAGGTGCTCCTGAACATTGGAAGGCATATCCTGGCAGTGTGCGACGCATGTCAGCGTTAAACTGGTCGAATAATGGTAGCGCACCCCCCTTGCTTCAGGACAGAGATCGAACAGTCGCTGAAGGAGCATGCCACAAGCCACCTGCACCCATCAGAGGCCACCATATGTGTTTTTCGCACGTTCGCTGCGGCCATTAGAACGGGCGAACGAATGCTCATGTCAACCCACACCGTAAGCTCCGTGCTGCGACATTTAGAGACTGCATAAAACCGTGCATCGGTAGATATACCTGGAGGATGCCCAAACCACTCGGCGCAAGAAGGAAAGAGACGACTCTCCGAGAGTGGGCGCACGGCGAGATTTGCCTTCCCTAGCAGCTCCGGCGAGATGCCATCTCCTTCTGTGCCGAGGACCTGACAGGCTAACAGTGACCATGTCGACCGCCCCATTCTCGCATGTGAAAAGGGCCAAACCAGTGCCAGACGAGGCAGCGGGGATGGCACAGACCTCAAGCGAAGGCTTGAACCTGTTGCAACCGGGGGGGCCCTGGGCCCCCCACCCCCGCACCAAAGGCACCGCCACTGCAGCGGCATCCGAAACCTCTGTCCTTCACGGCATCGCACGAAGGGAAGCGAGGTTATTACAGGGAATTGTAAGGAGACTTGTGAGCACCTCACCTGGGCGGGCAGTAGGAGGCCCACAGCTCACGAGCCTCTGCTTTGCAGCACGCAGCAACTTCCTGCACGGATCGAGAACTTGTGGACAAGATTTGCTTGCAGCGGCAGAAGACCGCATCCTCGACATTTGCGAATCGCCGCAGTGTCAGGAACCTGGCACATGATCTCGCTGGCATGAGCTGTGAAAAGGAGAAATGTTGCAATGCGCGTGCCTTTCAGCGCCTCTCGAAGCATGCCGGGATCGGACCATGGTCGCACGGTACTTTGCACCCGAAGGGGGGGGCACCAGCCACACCTCCTCACAAAGCTCAAACGGAGGCCGTCTTGCGGTCTGCATGCGGAGCAGGGTTTCGTTTGCAATATACTATCGTCTGAGTTCAACCATCCTCACGTTTTGCATCTTTTCGACTGGCGAATCACCTTGGAGGATCCTCCACCAACGTCCGCAAACTGCCTTCTAGGGAAAGTTCTGGAGTTGCGAGGTGCTTCCCTACCCCAGCCGGGCTTGGTATTACCACTTCTTTATCATCCCACCTTTAAAACAGCCGTGCAGAAGTTTGTCCACAACAGATCATCCTACACCAGGAGTTCTTGGTACCTTTTCATCTATGGCGACGGGGACCAGCATGGTTTGAAAGCAAGCGTGATCGACGCCCCGGGGAATGGCAGCTGCTCGTGTGCGCTTGGTCCCCTGCCACGGCACCTTGGTGGAGTGCTTCACCACTTGTCATCACTCATCCGCGAGCTCAGAGCACGAGTTGGGATGGCGTGGGATGCGTTAAGTCGTCTGCGCAAACGCATCTTTGCAGCTCCGGATGTCAGCAGTTCTGACATCTCGACATGATTATGAACCGGCCCTGCTCCTGGGGGACAGCGGCCCCTCGCCTCCTCGCTATGCCATCCGCAGATACTCTTCTTCATGTCGCCGGATTGCGCCATGTCGGGTCGTGTTGTACCATACCAGTGCGTAAGTTTTGGGCCATGGCCCACAGGCAAGGATCTTGGCTGGAGGCAGTGCGAGCGGTTGTGGCAACAGGTCGATGGGGAGGACATCGACGCCCCACATGGATTGATGCCATCCCCCGTCCTGGTTGTTGGAAGCGACTTCTCAGGCGATTCGCTGAGAGGAATGGGCTGCCGCTCGAGCCCATCACAGGGGATACGCCGATATCTTCGGGCTGCGGGGGCCACCCTTCCGGGACAGATACGGGAGACTCTGCATACAATGCTGCACGGTGCGCGAACGGGTTTTCACAACCTACCTTTAAACAGCCACGGCAGCGTCAAGGAATCCAGGATCGTGCAAGATGGCGAACAATCTTTGCACTTGGGGGTCGAAAGCAGGAAGGCTGGCGAGCAACGGTGTTCGCAGATCCCGGCATTGAAAGCTGCCGGCCCTACTCGCAACTTTGGTTCTGACGAGTTGGGTCGATTCTTGCGACGGGCCCTCTGCTGAGGTCCTGGACTGTCTAGAGGTAGTTGCTTACGGTTTTGGAGGTGTGGGAGTGTGCTCGCTCCGCTTCCGGTGCGTTTGTCTGCTGGCGCACCGTTTGCGATAGTCGGCTGAGACGTGGCTCAGCTGCCTTCAGGAACCCACCGACTTGAGTGCCGGCAGAGCTGGACTGTATGCTTTCGCCCAGCGCACGCTGGGATATTGGTGCTGATTGAATCGGGTGGTTCGTGCCGAATATAATGTTGTCGAGTGCCCTCCTGTTGGACTTTGCCGATGCTGAGCATTGTCACACAAAGACATGTATACATGTGTATGCGTATATGTATATAAGATTATATACATGTGTATGTATACATACATACATACATACATACATACATACATACATACATACACATAGATAGATAGATAGATAGATAAATAGATACATACATAAAAAAATGGATAGCGCCCTCTGCGCCCTCATGGATACACCTTTCTTGACCATAAGTACGCGCAGCAAGGGCAGCGAGTTTGGGGAAAAGGCTTAGAGAAGCCGTTGCAAGGTTAATTGAGAGACCACCTGACCGGAAACAAAAAAGCGAACTGAAAACAAAACTAAGAATTGACCAAATCCGACTGTCGAAACCAAACGGGGAAAATACAACACCTAAACATCCAAATTTTCGAACTCTTCCAAAGGGTGTGTGACAAGACTATATGCATGTATGCATGTATGCATGTATGTGTGTATGTCTGTATGCATGTATGCAAGTATGTATGCATGTATGCAT